TTCCAGTAGAGATCTCGCTCCATTCAAACCAACCTCAAAAGATCACACCATCTTACGAAATCTGCTGACAAGACATTGAACAAATGATTGATTATTTTGTTTTTGCATAATGACATGGGTTACGAAATGCAGGAGTGACTAAATTAGACTCAATAAGAGTCAGAATACATTCATAAAATTACTTCGAAAAATCCGCAATACAATCTATGACGTCGGATTTGTTTGTCTCAGAGCCGCTCAAGGCGGCTGAGCACCGTTTGACCTCATTTAATAGTTAATTTTATGAATGAATATCCGAGTTGGTTGGCTTTCTCTGAAGCGCTACTCATTTTGACGTAAAATCCGTTATTTCCCGTAAGGAAAGTGGACCCATAATGTGTTCGTCGTATCATTTATTTCAACCGATTGCTCTTGCGCTTATACTCACGGGTATTTCCGCGGGTCATACAAGTCATGCACAATCAAACGAGTCTCGGGCAAAAACACATGAATCCAAACTATATACACGCATATCGTAATCTTTTATCCAAACGTTTGAATCGGACAGAGCAAACGTAATAGTCTGTTTAGATCAGTCACATGATAAACAGAAAATCAAATGATATCGTTCACATGACCCCCACGTGCGGATTCGAATAACTACCTCATTGATTGGTTTTCCTGGTGAACTTCCAGCCAGAGTAATGATGAATGATTTTCCACTACACAACGAAGCATGGAACGGAACGCAGGCTCGAATGTTTTTAGCCGCGAAAACTGGGTAACGCATATATTTAGTTTTCTATATGGAGTTGTGTGACAGACGATTAAAAATTTTAAAAGAACTCAAACTCAAAGATTTCAGTCCCATGCTGGATCCATTTGGTAACTCATTGGCTCATTGGGCAGTCCTGGGAGGACATACGAAAGTTTTGCGCCATATAAAAGAACGGTGTCCGAATTTATTGTGGACAACAAATCTGGCCGGGCAACAACCATTGCACTTGGCTTGCATAACCGGGAAATTCAATTGCGCCACATTCCTCTTACTGCACACAAATAATATTGAAGTTGCCGAATCTCGAGGCTGTACTCCATTGCTGCTAGGTATGATTTTGTGTTACCGGATTATGAGCATGTACCTCATTACCTTATACCAAGTATTTTACGGTATTTAATTTTTTGCTGGTTTAATAATGATAATAACTTTACTTAAACTGTGTACGTGAAGTTCAATTATATGTGCAGATGAGAGTTATGCACTACTCCTATGTTAGTGAGTATGGCGGGTGGTTACATAGTTCCGGTAAATTATAACAAATTGAAGTTTTTAACCAATAACGTCAAAACCGGATGTTTTCCTTACCCTGAACTGTCACGAAGCGAGTAGCCTTTCATTGGTTCCAAATTTCAATGCGACATGTTTTAAACTAGGACGATCATTTCTGGATGATGAAATATATCGACACTTTATATTTATTTACTTTCATAATAGCTTATTTTTCACTAAGGAAGCTTCTGTTTTAGAACTGGAATAATGCTTAAGCTCTCAGCAATTTCGATTGGTTATCCACATTCCCTATCCGCAAAGCCGTCCCAGTGAAGTCCTATACCAGTCCCAGCCGATTCCCGTGGGAGTCCAATAGGACTGGAATAGGACTCTATGGGACGGCTCTTGAAAGGACTGCCTTATATTGTAATGTGTGAAGCTTACATTTCTCCAGCCTTGGGCAGGCTTATTTAAGAATAAGACACATCAACGTATCTGTAGTCCATCCAGAGATATCGACTCGCGTATCGTCCCAATCGAGGAATACCAAAACCCACAGGTGACGTTTACAACTGCAACAAGCCTATATATAAATAACTAAATAATATAATATAATAAATAATAATATAAATATAAGTATAAATAAAAGCAATTATTACCGAAGGCATGCATGAATTTGTATTTGGAACAAAAAATACTACAAAAATTTCACTGGTTAGCAATTCCATAACACTTCGGGGTGGTTTTCTTTTTAGACTCACTTCGGCGATTATTTTCTCGGGCGTTCTGGATCCACCTTTTGTATTTGTTCACGTACTTTGATATGAGTTTCACGTGGCAATCTGCAATCTGCATATATGTGCATCATTATATAATATGATACACTTACCGTTGTAGTTGAAGTTGGTGCACATTGTAGATCGCCAACATGCATTTCAGCCGCGCCTATGGTAGAGTAAGAAATAATTTCTATTCCAATAGTATTAGACTTACAGTCATCAGAATTCTCCGCAGATTGCACTTCACAACTTCTAGTGTTCGTAGAAAACGAAGCATCTTCCGGGGAAACTAATCTGGTCGATCGATTATAAAATGCTGGGCGGGGCTGCTGCACAGTACAAAACAACAGCATCTACTGCAAGAAAACACTCGATTGTTGCATACCGTATTACCTGCCTCATTGTACGAGTCTAGTTGCACAAGTAAAGCTGAATTTAGACAAAGGAAATAAGATAATTACCGAGGCACGTAAGTATTTAACCCTCATAGAATACGCTGCTTACAGTGGGTGCTACGCATGTGCCCCAGAACTGTAAGCTAAGACAAACAAAGAAAGAACATCAAGATTTTCGTTGTTCTCTTCATATGTAATTGTTTGTTTTTCACCTCATTCACTTACGTACCACAGTCTCACCCTTTTCTTTTATTGCTGTTGTTGGATTGGCTCTAGGCTGATCTGCAGGCCGGCAATATATATATATATATATATATATATATATATAGTTACTGCATTGAGAATTTCACCTCGATTGGTGACGAAGCGTTTGCAATACAATGGCCAAGCTCGGAGAACAACTGAACATCAAGTTATACGACCCGAGCTATAAAAAAACAACCAACACCCTTCTTTACAAAACTGTCGTTTATATACTTATATATACATATACACTTTCACGCAGTAGGTTGCTTTGCATCTAATGCTTTTCTGGATACGGTTGCAACATAAAGTGTATCAAGAGTGTTCAAACCGCGAAATTTCTTGGGAATTTGGCGAAACATGATTGATGATTTTGGTCGCTTACTCACGACTAGCTTCCCGACAAGAGTTTTACTGCACGGTATTTATGACAGTAAAACTACGGTGATTATTGTAAAAACACTTCAACTAGATAAGAGATTAGATGAATGCTCATCCAGAGCATTGGATCTAACCTAAGGTCCGTTTGTAGTTCTGTCGCACTATTTAGAAACTTTGTAATCTCAATGTGTTGGATATTGCGCACCCTCCATGCTTCTTATTTCTCATCAGCCGCCGAAAATGGACACCATGAAATTGTGGCCCTACTTCTGCTTGCATCAGCTAATCTGAAAGCGGTTGATGATGAAGAAAACACCGCGTATCATTTCGCCGCAAAGGGCGGTAAGTGTACAAAAATACTGCTTTAAGAAATGATCTCTTAATTTGTCCATGTACATACGTATTCTTTTGTGTGTATACAAGGAAAGCCGGTTACCTGACCACGATAAATAAATATGATCCTTAGGTGACGTGCAAAAAGTGATAGTCAAATTGCGATCTCGTGTTCTGACATAGGGGATGACGGTTAAACTTGACCACTCTCATTAAATGATGGCGAGGTCTCTTACTTTCGTTAATCAAAATTGTATGCTCTTTTTCTTTTGATAAATCAACGCGTTTATGCACCACATCGTTCCGTTCAGTTTTTGTACCATAGGAATTACAGAATGGTGGTAGCATTTGCTGACTAGAAGCGTCAGAAATATCGATTTCGCAAATTCAGGACGAACCTACTGACGAATTTTAATCCCAATTTATGCTCCACAGAACAGCTAAGGCTCTCTTGGTAATAAAACTGACCGAATTCCTACGTGACCTTTTGGTTTTAATTAAGACAGAGAAATCATTCCGGTCTTAGAAGAACCATTTGCGCAGTGTTTTGATTCGGGAAAATTGGCTTGCTTTGTTCATAAAAAGACGACTCCAAATTGCTCTACCAGGTTTCTTCAGGAGGTCGTGATTGTTTCTGGTTCAACCTTAATAAGTCGTTCCACATCCATTAAATACTGCTCAAAGTCCAGTGTCCGATAAGCGTTTCCTTCGGAAGTAGATGTTTTGAATTGAAATTTGGTAAATTCTTGGCACGCGTAAGTATATGCCTATCAAACTCATAATAATGATTCAAACTTTGAAATATGCCCATACTCGCATTTATAACACGATTTCAGGTGAACGGTTGTTTTCAATAACTCATAATCATGTCGTTACAGTTTAACTGAGGGAATATCACGGTTTTTTCACAAATGTGCCATTGGTGGAAGCCATTCAGTTCATCATAAAACATCTTACTGATGGCAAAATTAATTTGGGGTTACCAACAGGAGCGCTACACAAACTTTTATTTTAGTGCACATATGACGTTCACTTTCTATTCAACGGAGCGGTCTACCGACAAAAGGACGGAGTAGCAAGGGATCACCACTAGGACCCCTTTTGGCGGAATGTTTGATGTCGATGCTAGAAAATAATCAATTGAAAGGCACCGTTACTAGTTTTCATAAACTTTGACGTATTTTGCATAGCTGATTCAAACTGCGAACTGGATTAACTGCTATAAAAGTTCAACTCTGCACACAAGGCCAGAAAGGAGATAGAAGCAGATGATCAGATAGTGTTTCTAGATGTACTCCTCATTAAAACACGTGACGGATCTATACAAAATCATATGTGCCGTAAGAAACATGGAGAGGCCAATACTCGAATTTTTATAGTTAGGTACCGAATAAGGGGAACCTAATAAAATGTTTGGTATCTGGAGCTCGGAGAATCTGCTCACAAGAAGTATTGGAAAGTTATCTCCAACGTGCTCAGACGTACAAGCTACCCCGACCGTTTCATTCAACGAAGTGTGATGGAACAAGTGCCAAAAGTATACACTGATGGGTTGGAAAAGAAGGACCTGTTCGTTAGTCTTCCTTTTAAGGGTGGATTTGGATGACGAATCATTGATGGATGCCATCGTTACATTGGACAGATACTGGGGTAAATCTGCAAATGAGCAAATGGATCGTTTTATATCCGAATTCCGGTATATATATATATATATATATATATATATATATAAGGGTGAAGTTGCCGCTGAAATTCTCATAAGACGACTGAATGGAACGGTCAAAGCCACATTCAACACCGCGCACCTACACCGTTCTTTCAAAAATGTGCCACTGACAACAATACAGAATGAAGACAAAATACCGATGTTGGCTGCTTCGATGATTGTTTACTCGTTCAGATGCGTTTTTGACGCACTCTACGTCTGTCTAACGGTTATCTATCCGCATGAAAGAACACCACTGTGTTGGCTAAGTCAAGGTGGTTCTGGATCTATCCCAAGTGTGATTTTGGCTCACTTGGTAGACACTGACCATCGTTTGAACCCAAGTAAGGCATTCCACATTATTTATCAGGTTCCCCCCGAACCGGTTCAGATATGTTGAAATGCTTCATAGCCGAGGCCATCTGTTTTAAGCATTTGACCCCCGAAATATGTTCCGGGAAGAGTCTTATCCAAGCTCTCCATCTCCCCTGGGTTCGCGAACCTACCTCCCCCCCACCCGCACACACGTACATATTCATACAACACCGATCCCTCAGAACTGGGTCACACAACCATCGTGACATAACTGAAAACCCCGGAAGCACAGATCTGAGAACGCGGTGTGCAACACACAGACACGCATACACGAAGTGAACAATTCCTCACATTTTGTTGATCTCATCCCAACCCCTAGGTTTTCCCCCTCAAATAAACTGTAACGGTATGATTATGAGTTATTGAAAACAATTGTTCATCCGTAGTTGTTCCTAATAAGGGGCGGTTACAACGCCGTTCTTTAGGGTGAAACTCTCGTGAAACACTCTCGTGCTTGTCGTCACTTTGAAATTAGTCGCGCTTGTTTCCTCAATATCCGGATGCTGAGTATGCCTAAAATCCAAAATTATTCTCCTTAGGAAATGCTTTGACTGAAAACTCTGAATTGTGTGTAATTATTTGATTGGCGAGGGTCAGGAGGGGACGGATGGCAGACGGCACTTATTTGCACTCATACTACCAAGATGATTGTGCCGTCATTGGTCAGCAATAACGTTCGCTCACTGTTCTTGCAAATCTCGGATTTAACCTCCATTCCGCATACGCATTAATTACAACACGTGTTGTATGCTCACAAGAAACTTGATTGAATCAAAACGCTGAGGGCTTGCTCGTGCGAACAGAGGGTTTCTATTGCTACAGGTAGGATAAGCATCGAAGAGATGAGATGAAGGCCATCAGTTACTTGTTGGTGATTTTACTCGTGCCCCTTGCTTCCTTTGTGACCTATCCGACCTTTCACATTCTCCTATCAGAGGTAGTTCCGTTCTGGATGGAATATGCACAAACCATCCCAACGTATCCTCGCTTAAACTAGTGACCCCGGTTTCCACCAATGACCAATGTATTTTTTCTTGTTAGACCAAAGGAATAATTTTGCAATGCTTATCAAACTTTCATACATTCCAATCAGATAAAAAATTTCATCCAAGGGACTTTTCACCCATCCGTATCTCTCTTCTCAGCCGTTCTGTTGCGATTTTAAGTCTTGATTTCATTCTTGTCCTTCGCTTTTTGACTGTGTCAGACAGTTCACTGAAAGGATTAATTCGATCTTTGACTGGTGTTGCCCCACGAAAACTGTTCGTCTGTGGCTGTAGAATTATATCACTTTTCTGAGAAAACATAAAGAAAAGGGATACAAATCTCGTCATGCATCAGTCGTAAAGCACTATTCCGACTGAATCAGGCCTGAGATGATACATCTGCATGCAATCTTCGCCGCCCAAATTCTGCGAACAAATAAAACCAAGCTCTTGTGGTAAGGTATTTATCTTCTCTGCGGGCAGAAGTGAACTACTCGAATGCCTTGGTGAATGTGAGCCGTCTCAACACTGTTTTCATTGACCTGTCAAACAAGAGCCAGATTTCCTCCTTCCTGTGCAAAGAATCCGATTTAGTGCTTTTAACCAATGATGAAATCTTTAAGCTTCTCCGATTCCCCACAGCATCCTCAGTTGCAGCCTTTGATGATTTTCCCCCGGCACTTCTCAAATTTGGAGTAGCTTCCCTGGTTAATATGATGGCAGCCCTCGTTAATGAGTCCCTGTCTTCCCGGTCTATTCCTGAGTATTGGCATCATCATCATGATCAGCCATTCTTTTCAACCTTCAATCTTTTGGCACTCCAAGAAAACTGCTGTCATGGCTTTCTGACTATTTCGCAAAGAGGGTTGAGAGATTTATCGGTCTAATCTCCTGCACCTCCAAAAGTACTCTGTAGAAATCGTTGTGTTAAAAGCTTTCATCTCCTTCGGAATTGAATTCTTTCACGGAAAATCTGTTCGACATCCAAAATGTTTCCAACCCATCTGGTCTCAGTCTTAAGACATTTAATTGTGTAGGGTGTATCTTCAGCCTTTCTAGCTCCTTAATTTCAACTGACCCTGCTACTCTTAACTTTAAACCTGTGTCTAGAATGACCTCGGTCAGGTACCTTGGTGCAACCATATATATATATATATTTACCACCGGCTTGAAAACAAGCATGGTGCCAACGCAACAACAATGACAGTGAAGGGGATAGGTGGATTAGGATACAGAACATGGGGAAAAGTGAGTGAGACAGTTAAACATGGAAAATACAAGATAACAGAATTTTTTTTGTGTGTGTGTTTCACCGTACACCTTTTGCAATTTTTTGTTGTTTGATGTTTCGTTTTTCTTAATGGGCACAATAATCTTCGGTGGTCCACGCACATTTACATTGTATGGAAAAACTGAGATGCCTGTCAGTTCAGTTACGAAAACTCAGGCATTTCCAAGCCCCACAGTTAGTTTGTTCACTTTTGTTCACCAACGCGTTTTACCCATTCTACTCTATTGATTCCTTATAGTTTCCCGGTCTTCTAAAACAAGAATTCAAAAACCTTTGTCGTGGCTCGGTAACAATCAGCCGTGCATCAGTAATCTTAATCGATTCATTCATCACAGAGGGTATTGGTGATCACATTAACTCTTGTTTTAAATTTTCCAATGAGATTATAGACGGCCCTCTTCATCCACTGTCTTCCGATCTACCTTCTCGGTATCTACCCTCTTATATAAACATTTACAAAATTTACCTTGTACGCTGCCTGACCCGACTTTTAACCAAAAGGTAAACTTGGCCAGTGAATTACTTCAGAATTCTCGTACATGAAACAAACTTCAGCGACATTCTCTACTTAGCATGGAGATGCAATAAAATATACAGTTTCACATTCCGGTATATGAAACTGCATATTTTATTCCGCGAGATGAATAGTGGT